TTGGTGATACCGCCTTAAATTAATGAGATTCTCTTATGCCATTCAATTATTATACAAAATTTTCTTGTGCAATGCCTTTCTTATATGCCTGTATTTTTTGTGTTACTGGGAGGATCAAATATTATTTATACGTGTGTGTGTGTGTGTGTGTGTGTGTGTGTGTATAAATGTATATGAACACCCTAACATACATAATATATACATGAAGTATTACTATTAAGTTTACTGATTTGGCTGTAATTTCATACTACCAAAGATTAAGTAATTTGGGTGTTTCAAAATACTAAACACATTTAGTACAAATATAACTCACTATGTAGAATCTATTTGGCTCCTGGGTAATGGCAAGAGTTTGATTAAGGAGGGAAACTTGAACTACTAACATTTGTCTTTCATTTAATCAATCAGATGAGTAGATGTAGAAAGGACTTGTGCAGTCTAGTCAGTACCCTCCCTTTACACTTAAATATCACATTTCCTAATTAACCTACTAATAATAGACACTTCATCTCTGTTCAAGGAACTCACTATCTTACTAAACTAAGCCAGGAATATTGATATTAAGTGATTTTTGTATTCATTGCTTTCAACTAGTTTTTATAAGATGCTATAAACTTTTTATCTGCTCTATTCTTTTCTCAGGCAGAGGAGATATAGAACAGAATGAATCTGACAACCGTAGAATAATTCGCTATCCAGACAGTCATCAACTTTTTGTTGGTAACTTGCCACATGATATTGATGAAAATGAACTGAAAGAGTTCTTCATGAGTAAGTGGTTTATTTTGCTTTATCTTAAAATTAAGAAGGAGAAAAACAGCTTTTCCCACAGTAATTAAAGTATCTCCAGTTACCAACCACTTATCAGAAGAGAGAAGATTGCTCTATCAGATGTTTCTCAGTGATTGTACTTAGTGCTGAATGGCCTGGTTCTCTTTAGGTGAGAAGAAGGAGCAGGATGAATCGGTGTTAAATTTGGAGGTGGGATGAATTTAGCAAATATAAATCAGAAATAGAAAATATCATTGTCTTTCTAAAATCATATAGATACCTTTCCTTTTGAAATGTCTAATAAAGACGCTGAAGGGTTAGAAGGGTTACCAAACAGTCCAGCTAGTTGTTGGCATCTTAGATGACCTATATGAGTGAATATATACTTTAGTTGTTGTTGGATGTAGCCACTTGCAACTTTTATTTTGAGATGGATCAAGGAGATTAAGGTTATTCATCTTGAACAATTGAGGCCACAAAGTATTCTGTTAAAAAATTTAACCGTTGGTGTCCTAGCCAGTTTTGCTCAGTGGATAGAGCATTGGCCTATGGACTGAAGGATCCCAGGTTCAATTCTGGTCAAGGGCACGTACCTCCGTTGTCATTAAAAATAATAATAATAATAATAATAACCCTTGGTGCAATGTATGTTTTCACAGGTTTTGGGAATGTTGTGGAACTTCGCATCAATACCAAGGGTGTTGGCGGAAAGCTTCCAAATTTCGGTTTTGTGGTTTTTGATGACTCTGAACCAGTTCAGAGAATCTTAATTGCAAAAGTAAGTGACTTAAAGGGCAAAATTCAAGACTTTATTATTTCTGTTGTTTATACTATTAATGTGGTACATTTTTAAAAAATAAATCTTTATTGTTCTGATTATTACAGGTATTCCTCTCCCACCCCCTCTCAACTCCCCTCCACCTGATTCCCAACCCCACCCCGCACCCTTACCCCCATCACTGTCTTCATCCATAGATGTAAGATTTTCATCCAGTCTCTTCCCGCACCCCTCAGACCCTTTTCCCCGTGTGAATTGTTAGTCCAATTCCTTTCTATATCCCTGATTCTATTATATTCACCAGTCCATTCTGTTCTTCAAATTTTTTTTTTTATTCTCTTGATTTTTAGATTCGCTTGTTGGTACGTATGTATTTGATGCTTTTTTATTGTTCATAATTTTTTACCTTTACCACCTTCTTCTTCTTCTTCTTCTTCCTTCTTCCTTCTTCCTTCTTCCTTCTTCCTTCTTCCTTCTTCCTTCTTCCTTCTTCTTCTTCTTCTTTCTTCTTCTTCTTCTTTCTTCTTCTTCTTCTTTCTTCTTCTTCTTTCTTCTTCTTTCTTCTTCTTTCTTCTTCTCCTCCTTTCTTCTTCTCCCTCTTTCTTCTTCTTCTTCTCCTTCTCCTTCTTCTCCTTCTCCTTCTCCTTCTCCTTCTCCTTCTCCTTCTCCTTCTCCTTCTCCTTCTCCTTCTCCTTCTCCTTCTCCCTCTCCCCCTCCCCCTCCCCTCCCCCTCCTCCTCCCCCTCCCCCTCCCCCTCCCCCTTCCCCTCCCCCTCCCCCTCCGTTCAACATTTCATGTAATCCTGGTTTGGTGTTGATGAACTCCTTTAACTTTTTCTTGTCTGTGAAGCTCTTTATCTGACCTTCAATTCTAAATGATAGCTTTGCTGGGTAGAGTAATCTTGGTTGTAGGTTCTTGTTGTTCATCATTTTGAATATTTCTTGCCACTCCCTTCTGGCCTGCATAGTTTCTGTTGAGAAATCAGTTGACAGTCGTATGAGTAATCCCTTGTAGGTAACTAGTTGTTTTTCTCTTGCTGCTTGTAAGATTTTCTCTTTGTCTTTTGCTCTTGGCATCTTAATTATGATGTGTCTTGGAGTGTTCCTCTTTGGATTCCTCCTTTTTGGGGTCCTGTGAGCTTCCTGAACTTGTAAGTCTATTTCTTTTACCAGTTTTCTGTCATTATTTCTTCCATTAAGCCTTCAATATTCTGCTCGCTTTCTTCTTCTGGCACCCCAAAAATCCAGATGTTGGTACGTTTTAAGCCGTCCCGGAGGTTCCTTACACTATCCTCACACTTTTGGATTCTTCTTTCTTTTTGCCTCTCTGGTTGGGTGATTTTTGCTTTCATATATTTCAGTTTTTTGGTTTGATTCTTGGGGCATATTGATCTATAGTTGAATTTTTGTATATTCTTTATTTCAGACTTTGTATGCTTAATTTCTGGCTGGTCCTTTTCCATTTTTTTTTTTTTTTTGGTATTCTCATTAAGGTCCTTGAAGGTCTCACCAAGCTTCTTGGAGGTTTCATCAAGTTTCTCAAAGGTTTTTAGAAGATTCTTGAGTAATCTTATAAATGTGATTCTGAACTGTGTGTCGTCCACTAGTTTACTCTCCTGCATCTCTTCCATTTGTGTCATGCTTCTGTGTTTCCTCATTTTGGCTATCTCCCTGTGTTGATACAGAGGCTTTATGTGGTCGGTGGCCTATAGGGGTCAGTAGCTCAGCTTCCCCAATCACCTGAGGTGGTCGCTTTTGCATATCCCTTTGTGGGCTTAGTGCAAAGTCTTGGTGTAATTAAGCCTTGATTGCTGTTGGTACACTGAGAGGAATTGGCTTCCAGGCCAATTGTCTGTGAGGATCTGCTGTGTCTATAAAGGAAGAACTGCTGTGCTGGAGACACACCTTGTTTCAGTGGGGCTTTGGTGCTCACTGAGTACGTCTCCCAAATGTGTCACTTATGGTCGTGAGGGATTGAAACTGAGCACTAGAACTCTGGTTTCTGGGTCTCAATGAGGTACAGTTCAGCTACTGTCTGAGGTGAGTAGGGTCGCAGAAGCTACAGTGTGAACTACAGACATGTCCTCCTTGGATCTGTTTGCCCCAGGTTGCAATTTTGCTAACTGCACCAGAGAGGGCCATTCATATGCAAAGTCCCCTGCTTGTAGTTGGATGTGTTGTGAGGGGCCAAGTCTCAGGGCGGGCATCACTAGGCTGGGGCGTGGCCAACAGCAATGGCTGCCTGTCTGCCTCTTGGATGGCATACCCGCATGTCCCCACGTCTTGCACCACAGCACAGTAAACAATCTCAGCTCTGCAAGCAAGCCAGCCTCACTTTCTGACCCGAAGGCAGACAGTCTAGCCCCTCCCCAGAAACTGGATTTCAGAGAGATCGGGCGCTTGCCTCTCTTCGGGTTGAAGAAAGCATGGTTCTCTGCCAGCCTGGATCCACCACCAGCTCCTATCGCGTCCTCGCCCCTCCTACCTCAGTTTTTCAGCGCTTGTGCCCTGGATTCTCCTCTTTCTCTTTCAGTCTAGATGTAGGGCTTCCTCTCAGCCAGCTCTCATTTGGTGTTTGGGAGATAGACATTTGTTTTATAGTTGTTGTTTTTTTTTTGTTTGTTTGTTTTTTGACTTGTTGTGCCCAGCAGCAGTTTAGGAGTGTTTACCTAATGCCGCCATCTTCGTTCTCACATTTTTAAACCATAGAGAATCTTTTTTTTATGTTAAAACTAAAAATTGTTCACTATGAAGTAAATGGTTTATGCAAAGAATAGAGAAATGTTAGTTTTAAAGTCTGAGGTGTGTGTCATTTTAAATTTGTTTCTTAGGGTTTTCTTATTTATATATACAAGGAAATACTTTTCTATTACTGTCTAACCTGCCCATGTAAATCTTTTTTGTCACCTTTTAAAGCCAATAATGTTTCGAGGGGAAGTGCGTTTAAATGTGGAAGAGAAAAAAACGAGAGCTGCAAGAGAGCGAGAAACCAGAGGTGGCGGTGATGATCGCAGGGATATTAGGCGCAACGATCGAGGTCCTGGTGGTCCACGTGGAATAGTGAGCGGCGGAATGATGCGTGACCGGGATGGAAGAGGACCTCCTCCAAGAGGTGGCATGGCACAGAAACTTGGCTCTGGAAGAGGAGCCGGGCAGATGGAAGGCCGCTTCACAGGACAGCGTCGCTGAAGCCCCACTGTTGGCAAAGTCTTGGCAGTGGTACATTATTCATCGTGTTTGCATTCTTGTTAATTTTTTTTTTTGGCTTTGGAATGTGACACAGCCTTTTTGATCATTTCTTTGATGTGAAAAGCATCTTTTGGTTATGAGTTAAATTGAGGTGGACATTATTTCCCCAATTTCACAACAGGATTCACATTGTTAATTTATAAATCTAGACTTGGAGAATTGAGAACTGAGGAATGACCATATCTTAAACTATCTACAACAAAATGAACTTTTTAAGAGGACATGCCCAACTGAATTCAGGTCCTTTGAGTAAAAAAAAAAAAGAAAAAAAAATCCTCTGCTGCACATTTTGTTTTAAGTGTTACTGTTTCTGCCTACTAATCTTGGAAACACAAATAGTGCAATTGGAGAATCTTGCCTTTTTTCTTGGCTCCCCCCAAAATACAAACCAACAGAAACTTTTTATGCACTCATCAAAATGCACTAATGGGTACTCTGAACTCATTAACATTGACATCTGCAACAGGAGGCAACAGGGGAGAAAAATCTTTCATCCTTTTTTCCAGTAGAGAATAGATTGTGAAATGATGAGGGCATTTTATCTGCTTGCTGTGACCAGCGTGTGTACACATAAACCTTAACAAGACTACAAGTATATTCCAGAAGAAAATCATTTAGTTTGAACTAAATAACAAAAATCAGAACTTCAAATGCTGTGGTCTTGAATACTAGACCAGATTTAGTAGCTTCATATCTAAGATTTTTCTACCTGCCCCTCTTCAGTACAGGGATGGCTGGCTGCTCAACACACTCCTCCTCCCCTTTTTCCTTTCTTTAAGCTGTGTACAGTGAAAATTGTCTTTACTGTATTTTTTGTTCTCTGGTAATGTAATAAGCATGATGGTGCCTTCTATTAATACATCATTCCAGTCTTGCTGGTAATTTTGTACAGTATAGTGTATGAATTGCTGTGCTGCAAAGCCAAACAGCTGCAAAATGTTGAAAAATCATTGAAGTGTATAAAAATTGCAGTATCTTTAAAATTAGTAAAATTGAATAGCATATTATTTACCTTGTTCTTTAGTAAACAAACTTTGTGTTCTCTGTGGGAGGGAGTCTTGTGTGCTTGGGAGGGAATGGGAAGGAGGAAGTCGGTTATTTGAGTAAGTCTCTTATTGACTTTTCTCTTAACATGAATGTGAATGATGAAGCAGATCACTTGAGAGGTGCTTGGAAAAGTCAATCAACTTGATGTACATTTTTAGTGACATTTTAAAAGCAGTCAGATTCCATAAATGGCAAGTAAACCTGAAGTGAGGATACTGCAATTTTCAGAGAAAAGAACAGCAGCTCTTAAGTGTTTGCATTTTCTATTTGGGGGGCAGGGAACTGTCATTCATTTTGCACAATTCTTAAACTGATGTCAGCACCCAAGTGGCTCTGAATTTAAGTCTGGGATGACATCTTTTATTTTTACATGAATCTCTAAACAATTCTGTGAGCAAAGTTTATAGCTGCTGGATTATTGTCTGTCTTTTTAGCAAGTTCCAGTAAACCGCAAGTATGGCAAAGGATGTTCAATTTTATGCTTGAAGCATTTGGTACACACCAGTTTTTGATGTTTCAAGCTAGGAGTGGGGTAAATAAGTGTGACCACTTAAAGCTGCTTGTTAGCATGGAAGACTTCTCCATTCTATCTTGGTAAAAACAAAAATGCACTTGACATAGTAGCAAAGGGATTTGAATTATGAAAACTGTTTGCTATTTAGTAAATTAGCAAATGATGCACATATTTTGTTTTTCATGTTCTGGGCAATATAAGTAAAATTAAATCTGTTCCTTTTTTTCCTTTGAATGAGGTCTTCCATGTTTGAAGAAAAGTCTTGCACTATTGCATATGTTTGGGGACACAGTTATCTTAATAGTTGCCATTTGGAGGGGCTTAAGGATTTTTCTTTTTCCTGCTTAAAACACTTTTTACACTTTCTGATGTATAGTACTTGAAGTTCTTACCAGAAAATTAATTTTGAATTTTGAAGCCTTTATTCAAACTACTTTTAAATGAGTGGTTTATTGTCAGTGTTTTTCTAGAGCATATTTTTCCTTTACTCTTTTCTTTCTTCCCATTTTATATATGTGAAATTTCTAATCCAGAATATTGCCCTGCCACTCATGAAAACTGTTCTGGCACCAAAAGTAATGGCAAATGTTAAGTGTAATAGAAAATTAGAGCAAAGAGCCATTCAGCTTCAGTCTTTACATACCATGAATAAATCATTAAAACATCACATGGAGAAGTTTACATGGTGATTGTTCACCTGCAGTACTGTGGACTTTTAACATTTTGTCCCCTTTTCAGTGAACCATAGTAAAAATATTCATCTACCATAACTGTTATTTGCTGAATTTTTTTTTTTAATGGATGGTAATATTCTATCCTTACGACACTATTGCAACCAAATTGGCTTTACCATCTTGGCTTTAGTAGGTATAGAAGACAATGGATTACCATCTTTATTGCTGTAATGTGTTAAGCATTATATGCTAGTAGAATCTAGTTTAATTGTTTCAGGTGGAAAGTATTCTTTCGGTTTCCATTTGAATGTGTTTGGACTAAACAAACAATAAACTACTGATGTCTGCAGTGTTTATCTATGTCCCTAATTTAATCAATAGGTTTGTGTTCCAAAATGTTTTCTCCCAATTGCATTTCACACATCCTAAGTAAAAATGAGTTGTTCTAAAACCAACTGCTTACTATTTGTGAGACTGGATCTATAAGAAGTAAAGTAGTAAAGTATTTGTATGTTTTTCCTTAACAATTGTTAAGAGATCTATCCCAGATGTACAAGTTAAAGAATTTTAGATTAATAAGTAATAAGGAAGGTGAGAATGACCTAAATTAGACCACTAAATTTTTCTTTTTTTTATTAATCTTGGGTTTTCCAAAGGATTGCTACCTCATATTTCGGACAGGAGATGGGAGATGGGAATAGTGAGGCTATCTAAAGCTATGGACATGACCCAATTCAGAAATTGAAACAAATTTGTCAAACTCTAAAAGAATATTAAAGGAGGAATAATTATTTAATCATATGAGTCTAAGGCTTCTTTATAATTTTGGAATTTGAGACTTTTTCTTCATTAAAAGGGATAGCATAATTGAATTCTTCCTGATATATTCAATGAAGATTCCTTAAATCAGACTTCGTAAGTTTGTACTGGAGAGAAACCAAAATAACCATTATTTAAAATATTCTTAAGGAAGTCAGACAAGATTTTTATAAATGTATATTAAACTCACTTTCCATGTTAATTATAATGTTACTAGAGGCCTCTCGGCCTGGCCTGCACACTCTCACAATCCAGGGGATGTCGGAGGCCTGGTGCACAGATTCAGCCTGATCTCCACAGACCAGCCTGAGTGACCCCACTAGTGCACACATCCATGCACTGGGCCTCTAGTATGCATATAAGATCTTTGGTTAATCTCTTCCCACCTTCACTCCTCCCTTCTGAGATTCATCAGTCTCTTCCATGTTTACAGCCTGTGCGTTCTGAGCATCAGCCCCCTGGTGGTCAGTGTGTATCACAGTTAATGGTCGAATGGTTCTTCAGGCATATATATATATATATATATATATATATATATATATATATATATATGACTTACATAATTTTATGGCTGTGGAAAAACATTTGTTAGAAGGAATATATGCCACTTATTAAAAAACCAAGTTTGAGGGAGCAAATTACCGTTTGGTCCAGGAAACTTAATATGAAACAGAATATTTGACTATTTTAGCCACTTAAGGTGTTTCATTTCACTTGTGCTCAATAACATAGTATTTGTAGCAAGTGAACAAAAATTTAGTGGCTAGATGTTAATGCTGTTCCTTTAAATTAGGAAACCTTGCTTATCATAATTTATATTTTAACTACAGATGAATAAAGACCATTGACCTTTCTTTTCATTCTGTGTTCATAAGTAATTTTCTAATTATTTAGTAGTAGACTGTTTTGATGAATTAATTCCTAAGTAATAAAATTTCTGGTTATTTTGAACAAATAGAGACTTAAATCTGCTTATGCAGCATATAGCTTATGTATAACGTTTCAGAATTGAGTCATAGTTGATTTTTTTAAAATATTTTTTTATTGATTTCAGAGAGAAAGGAAGAGGGGAGGTAGAGGAGAAAGAGAAACATCAGTAATGAGAGAGAATCATTGATTGGCTATCTTAAGTGCCCCACTGAGAATTGAGCCTGTAAGCCTGGCATGTGCCCTAACCAGAATCAAACTGGGATCTGGTTCACAGGTGGACACTCAACTACTGAGCCACCGAGACTGAGCAGAAATAGTCAATTTTTAGCAATACCAAATAAATACTGGGCAAAATACCATAAATGGAGGTTTAGAATTAAGAAATCACGTAAAGACTACTACCCTTCTGTTACCAAATTAACTGTTCTCTCTGTCTTTGATCTCTTAAAGAGTTTTGACAAAGCTGGCTACCTACTTGTATTGCTTTCACTTTAGTGAAATTAATATTTTAACTGCTTCTGTTTTCTTATCCCATAATAATCCCTGCTCCCTAGTCCTTTCTGTGCTCAGTCTTTTTCCCCATGAACTTGCTTTGGATGGTTTCATTTTGGCCACGTACTGTCTTTCCTTCAATATGTTATCTATCCAATAGATTTCAAACAATATAATGGTTAAGAGGAGAGCTTAGAACAGCAGTCACCAACCTTTCGGACCTCACGGGCTACCAGTGGTTCACGGACCACTGATTGACGACCACTGGCTTAGATTCCATAAATGGAAGATATCCTGGGTTTGAATGACAAGTCCACCATTCAATGGTTAACCTTCTTTCTATTTCCTCATTTGGAAAAAGAGGTAGGTGGTTGTGAGGATTTAGTATATTAATATATAAAGCACCTAAAACAATGCAGTGGTGTGGTGGGCCTTTGGCAAGGGTAAGTTGTTACTTTTTTACTTTTTTTTTTTTTAACTTTGGTAACTTTAAAAAAAATTTTTTAATTGATTTCAGAGAAAGGAAGGGAGAGAGGTAGAAACATAAATGATGAGAGAATCATCTATCAGCTGCCACCTGCATGCCCCCTAACTGGAAATTGAGTCTGTATCCTTGGGAATGTGCCCTGTCCGGGAATCTAATTGTGACCTACTGGTTCATGGGTTGATACTCAGCCACTGAGCATCACCAGCCACACTAGCTGGGCAAGTTGTTACTATTTTCAATTCAATTGCAATTCTACTGTCTACCTATCCTATGTTTCATAAACATCTTTTTAAAAACTCATAGCCCCCTTTGAAGTTCGAGATAATTTAAAATTTGGAAGTCCAAAACAATGTTTTCTTTTTATAAGTGACTTAATGCATATCTGGCTTTCTGGTGAACAATTCTATTTTTCGACCAAGAAATGTTTGAAATCTCGTCTCAATATTTTTGTTTTCCCTCCTATCCATTTTTAAAGTGCATGAAAACTGTTCAAGCTACTGTGATTAACTCCTAATAATTCATCTAATTCATTTAACTTTTGAGCTG